TCTTTCTTTCTTTCTTTCTTTCTTTCTTTCTTTCTTTCTTTCTTTCTCTTTATCAAAAAAGAAAGAGAGAAACAGAGATCGAGAAAAAGAGAGAAGGAAGGAAGAAAAAAGACAGTACAGTACAGTATTTACCTAGGCAAATATGGATTACAGTTCATGCCATTTGTGGAACTGTTGTTCAATAATCAAAATCACAAAATTCATTTATGTTTCTTTGCATACTAATTTAGGAATATATAATAGTTAATTAACTTCTGACAACTTTATTGACGGGAGTCAATAAACTTGCTGTTAATTGTATAGTGCATAACACAGGAAACAATGTGCAATATATTATTGCAGTTGGATTTTACTTCACAGAAAAAAATATAAGAGTACCTTTATGATTGAAATAATTTTAAAGTACAAATAGCAAATATTTCTTCTGGTATATGGAGTATGTTGTCCTATATGATCTGAAAGTTCTGTTGTTCTGTCCGTGGGAGATAAGAAAAAAAATAATTGCAATTCTTTTTAAAATTCCCATCACATAACGCTATCTATCTGATCATATGGACCTACTGTAAAAAGTGACCCCCTTATGTCTTTTGAGCTGTCCTATTAATGCATCATTTTAAATATAATACCAGATCATAAAGGAAGCACAAAAAAGCCAAGCCATATAATGTAACCATCAGATCCTGACACCTAGGACTGACACTGCCCCAAAGCAATCCTTTCACTAAGAAATATTTTTATTGGATTTTCAGATTAAATATATGATTTCTCGGCCACACAAAGAATTTGGGATTCGGGTTAAATTCCAAAACAGAAATGCCACACTTGACAAACATGCCTATGTGGATTGCATGCCCTATCAAGATAAGAACTTCACCATTCGGCAGCTGGAGAAACATATTGGTGTTCAGGTAGTCCCAGAAGAAGAAAATACCGGAACTCAGACAAAATGGTATAAAATTCTTCATTTTTGTTTTTAAAAAAGTGTCCTTTTTGTGGGAGGAGGGGATTTTTGGGGGGGGAAGAGAATAACTACTTTTTTTCACCTAGAAAGAATGTGTATGAGAGATTTCAGTTATACTAATTTCATCTATATTCTGCCTTTTGTTTATGATAGAATTCAGAACAACGTAATGGAGTTCAGGTTGGCTGCCCATTCAGTGATTACTGATCACACACAGATTTACCTAAATTAAGTAAGGTTGCTATATTATGTGAGTTCAGGGTCTGGCTCATGCCCAAGGAAATAGATAATGAGTCTTCATCTGGGGATTATGGAAATTGAAATCTAACCAATCAGAGGAGCATCAGTCCAATAGATTTTGTTGGATGAGTTATATGGCTCCTATATGCATTTATCCCTAAAACGAAAACCATGCTTTATAAACCACATAATATCTTAAACAAAAAGCAAACAAATGAACCCACAATTGATTATGCTACAAAAAGGTGGCGCCCATATTTCTCCCTCTTTTTTGGTTAGATTGACCTATGTTTCCTCAACCCTACAGCATCAACTAATACCGTGGAGTGATTTCCAAAATTCTGCAGAATTAGTAGATACTATAGAACAAACATCGTTTAAATTATGATATCTAGCCTTTAATGTTGGGAAGTCCTTTTTCTCCCATTCCCCATGTTTTAAACAGTGGAATTCATGTGCTTTAGGACCTATCCCAAAAATGCAACGACACAATATTACCCGAGAGAATTTACAGAATATGAAAAGGAGGTATACTTGTCATCGGACGAGTTGAAAAACTTTATCGTGTCTGTGGCTTTACGGTTAGTATTGTGTTTCACTAATATAATGTGCTGAGATGCAGGCAATAATATACAAACAGCCCCCCTTACCCCCCTACCCCAAAAAACCTATCCACATTCTACACTGCTTTAGTGACATGCAACTTTTCAGAATTCATTCCTTGAATTTGAGCAGTGTCATTTTCGCGTGATTTGCAGTTATTAAATTGATGAGACATCCCTTTTTAAAAAAAGGATCTCTACATAGCTCTGCCAATAAGCTGGCTGGGGAGAACCCTACTTCTGGTTTATGGTTTATGGTAAGCATTGATTGATTCAGACCCATTACTGATGACCATTTATTAGTGGAGTAATTAAAAGAGAAACACCAGGTTGTCTGCTCAGATGGGGACCTGGACCAGCTGCAGGCAATAACAGCCCAAAATAGTGAGGGCATTTGCAGGGTACCCACATGCTTGGCAGGGTGGCCTTACCCTGCAAATTTTCTTCAGAACCCATTGATGCCTAATGTAGATAATCCCTCAAGTATTTTAATTTCTCATTCTTTCTCTCCCTCCCTCCCTCCCTCCCTCCCTCTCTCTCTCTCTCTCTCTCTCTCATTCTTTCATTTTCCCCTGCCACAGAGTTGAAATAGCTCTACAACAAAATGAAATCATGAATGTTTTTTTCGATGACTGGAAAGCTCTTGCAGAAGAGGAAAGTGGTTTTGCAGGTAAATCTGATGTTACCATGAAGGAATATCAGTCCTTTACAGATCTGCATTATCTCAAGGACAGAACTGTTAGCTGCGTCTGCTGGCACCCGACCATTTATGGTAAGGTTTACAAAACAAAGGTTCATATTTACAACAATTGTGATGGGTATCTGGAAATCTTTAAAAGGTAGCGGCTCTTGTATTTTATCTATTCTGTTATCTGAAAAAGCAGTCAGGAAGCGCAGCAAGAAAAGCATTTGAAATATTTTCATAGATAATTGATAATACTGTGGAATTGGAATCACCGTCCTAACTAGGGAGGAGTGTTGGCTGATTATGTACACCTCTTCTAAAACATTTGATGAATACTGAGAGAAGTTGTGTAAAATCTGGAGAAAGCCTTTTCTAAAAGAGTGGAAACCTTTAAATTTGGGAGGATCAGCAACTATAGTATTATAGCAATAATATTTTTGTTGTTTAAAAAAAATCAAAAAAAGAGAGAAAAGAGGTAAATGCAATAAACTTCTCCAAAATTAGTGTCTATGATCGAAAATCTTAGCACTGGGTCAAGTGGTTCACCAAGGACATCATATCCCCAAGCCTTTCAACTTTGACTATTGAACAATTGCAAAAAAAAAAAAAAGGGGGGGGGGATAAGGAAATGCAATCTTCACCAACATAAAGATTTTTCTATTCTACTATCCTGAATACCTACCTACCTATCCACCTACCTACATGTGCGTGTGTGTGTGTATGTCTTTCCCTGAAAAGAAGACCTAGCCCGAAAATAAGTCCTAGTCTGATTTTTTTGGGGGGTGGGCCTAATATAAGCCCTGCCCCCCAAATAAGCCCTAGTGAAGAGGGTGGGCATGGCCAGCACAGGAGGCAGCCCTTCCCTTCCCCAGTTACCTCATGGCTGCTTGGCTCCTTAATCATGGCCCGCAGATTAGTGGGCCGCGATGAAGGGGCTGAACAGCCATGAGGACCATGCTTGCAGCCTCCTGCACCTCAAAAAAATTAAGACACCCCTGAAAAGAAACCCTAGCGGTTTTTTTGAGGGATCAAAAGAAAATAAGACCGGGTCTTATTTTGGGGAAACACAATATATATTGTCTCCATTCAGGAATAATTGTTGTAGCAGTGACGGAGCGCCTCTCTTATGAGGAACGAGTAGCTCAGTCTGGGAAATTGCTCTTATGGAAAGCCCCAATTCTGTTCTGGAGTTTTGCTGACCCCATTCATCCTCAGGTATTCTCTGTTTTTAACAACTTGACTATTTCTGAACATTGTTTAACCAACAAAGATGCAATCCCCTTACTTTGTGAAAATTGTGTTCAAAATTGATAGAGCTCTCCCTCTCTCCCAATGTTACTTCTAGCTGATGCTGGAGTGCCCTGAAGATGTTTATTGCTTTGAGTTTTCTCCAAATGATCCCAACATCATTGTTGGAGGCTGTCTCAATGGACAGGTTAGCAATTGGATTTACACACTTCTCTGTCTCTTTCTCTCTCTCTTTCTCTCTCTCTCTCTCAGTCCCTCCCACCCTCTCTCATCTTTAAAGTGAGCATTGAACTATATGTTTTTATGCATTGTGTATCTTTTCTGCATTGTGTAATAAGTTATGGTCTCTCCCCCATTTTTTCCTAATAATGTTTAATGGCACATAAAAAAGATTGAGAGAATCTGGGTTGCAGATGACCAATCCTGCTCTCAATTTTCCAAAACACATGGTCCAGATAATAGATAAGAGACCTGTGAATGTCACTACTATATTTCCACATCTGGAGTTCAATCTGCTACTTTTCAACTTTTATAACTTCTACCTTTCTATTATATATTTGCATACTTACCTATGATGGGTTGGTCTATGGCGGTGGGAGATTTGAAGAGCCGTCATTGGCCACGAGCCGTGAGCAGCCGGCTATAAAAAAGGCTGCCACGATTTCTCCGCGTTCAGATCCTAGAAGAAAATAAAAAGAGAAAAAAACTCAACTGGGTCTCGAGTATCTTTTCCCACAACACAACACAACACTGGTGACGAAGGTGGGATACTGAGACAAAGGAGCCCAGTTGAACACGTGGCAATGAGGACCGAATGAGATGAAATGGCAGGGAACAACTCACCACCCACACCATTCAACGCAACTGAGGACTGGGAATCCTACATCGACTGATTCCTCATGTTCCTAGAAGGGAGCGACCTCCAAGGAGTATCCGAAAATAGAAAGAGAACCATTTTCCTCACCCATTGCGGTCCCGCAGTATTCAAAATGGCAAAGGCATTAGCGACACCCACCGATGTAAAGAAGATGGCGTGGACAGACCTAGAGAAATTACTGCGAGCCCACTATGCACCAACCGTTTCATGCCTCATAAAAAGACACAAATTTTATCGGTGCGATAAAAGGAAGATGAGAGCATCGGAGATTTTGTTGCAGAACTAAGAGACATTGGTGAAGCATGCGAATTTCTAAACATGGATGAAGCCATGAGGGACCGCCTGGTCCTCGGATTAAAGGACCATACACTACAGGGTCGACTACTAACAAGACCTAAGATAACACTGAAGGAGGCAATAGAAGAAGCCACCGCAGCGGAAGCCACACAGAAAATCAGCAGCCACCATGCGACAAATGAATAAATTACCAAAGGAAACCCAAAAAGACACTAGTCAAACACACAATAAGACACCAGAGGAAACAAAAAAACCCACCACCACAACTCACCATGAGGACATTGAATCCCTATCAGAAGACGAAGAGGAAGAAGAAGAGGTAAATCAACTCCACTCAGAAAAAGGTAGACGGGAGCGAAATGAAAGAAGGTCAGAATTCCGTTGTGCCAGGTGTGGAAGAAACCATCCACGTTCCGAATGCCGTTTCTTCTATGCTATTTGTAGATATTGTGAACGGTGGGGACACATAGCTAGGGCATGCCGAACAAGAAATAGCTATGGCCCGAGACAAAGATGGAACACCCAAATAGCAGGGCCCTGGTCATACAGGGTAGACACAGAGGACAGGAGGAGCTGGAGGAGACACATAGACCAAATCAGATCGAGGACCACACTGAGAAACACTAACAATCAGGAAGAAGAAGGGGGAGACCCTCCGCCAACCTCTAACAAAAACAACCCAACCAGAGAGGGGGGAGAACCTCTGCAAATAAAAGAATTGCCCCAAACATTAAGCAAAAATAACCAAACCAGAGGGGGGGACCCCTCAAACACAAACAAAAGGGGAGGGGGAAGACCCTCCACAAGTAATAGAATTGACAAAACAAACCCTAACAGCAACACAACAACCAATACTAACATTAGCCCCAATTAGAAATTGCAAACACGTACCTGAAACCATAGAAGAAGAAAACAACTTGGGGACACTGGAGCAGGCTTCGAAGAACCATCAGGAAGCCTCTCCTGGCAGGAGCGGCCGAGCTGACTCATCCAGCCAGAAAAGGCCTGGCAGGAGCAACATGCCGACTCTACCTTCCAGGAGGCCCCACGGAAAAGGACGGGAAAAACAGCAATCCCGTCCGAAAAGGTCAGAGGCGAACTCACGACTGAGTTACGCAGGTCCAGTTGGAACCATAAGAGCCACGCCTACCTACGTGACTACATAGTATAGGCGGGGCCCGTATTGGTTAGACTGGACCACATGGGGAGGGGTGTTATATATTTGCATACTACCTATGATGGGTTGGTCCGTGGCGGTGGGAGATTTGAACAGCCGTCATTGGCCACGAACCACGAGCAGCCGGCTATAAAAAAGGCTGCCGTGGTTTCTCCGTGTTCAGATCCTAGAAGAAAATAAAAAGAGAAAAAAGTCAACTGGGTCTCGAGTATCTTTTCCCACAACGCAACACTTTCTGATATTGAAACAAAAAAAAACTCCTTCCTTTCTATGCATTCACATATAATCCTAGCATTGTACACAGGAAAAGCTCTCTCTTAATCTCACTAGAATTTGGGAAATTTAATAGTTTCATCATGGGGGGAATATTATGCAGAAGAAATGTGTTTTGAACACCTCTCCTGTACTAGATTGTCAAATCTGTTGTTCTGCTCCAATGCCAGGTTGTGTTGTGGGATATTTCAGAATATGAAGAAAGGTTAAAAAGTGCCAAATCAGGCACTACTACTGGCACAACAGTTAATGTGGTGAGTATTCCATACTTATGCTTCTTCCCTGCTGTCAATTACTCCTTACTTACTCCTAGATAAATAAATACCTGTATGTGAGTAAGTTTGCAAGCGTCTAAGTTTCCTACACCTCCTCCAATACGGCTAAATAGATATTAGAAGTTTTCACTTGGACTTTCAAACAAACATTAAGTTTCACGTTCAGCCCAAAATTGGCTCAAAGCTTTGTTTTGAGCGTAGCTCAGGACAGAAAATCAAGGGTCAGGTCTATGGTACTATTGTTTAAACAAATCTCAGTGTGACACGACAGAAAAGTGTGGTTTATTTAAAACTGAATGTTTCAAACCTTATGTCTCCTGGACAGGAGAGGAAAGAGAGAAGGGATATTTGAGGCTTGAGTATCTGTGCCCATGTTACAAGAAATAATGACTTTGTTATATTTGAGTGGCTCAGCCCTCCCCCTTCACCCCAGCCAATATATTTTCCTTATTTCTTCCCACTGATGATGGCATATGCATGATCCATTTCTGTGAATATTCAAAGATCCTTCTACTTTAAATAAAGGATTTATTTATTTGCTTGTTTGTTTATTAAACTTACATGCCGTCTATCTTGCTTATAAGCTTAATTTTTGATTTTTAAAAGAATGATAGCTGGTTTCTTCTTAAGTGTTAACAGGTCATGTTCAATTTTTAGCCCAGTTTCATACTGGAACAACAAATGGGGAAGGAGCCACACTTGGCGAGGTACTGTGCAGTCTCATCTATAGAATATGGCCATAAATCTATAATAACGGATATACACTGGCTGCCAGATTTTTTTGAGGTAAGATTCAAATATGACTCTTTCCTCGTGAGCCATTAAGGAGAGGGAGGGGGAAATCCAGTCACCACCAGACTTGTTCAGTCTTCTTACTTCAAGAGGTGGCTATTGCGAAAGCAAAATGAGCGAAGATCCAGCTACATGTCGTTTTGAGGCAGTATTGGATGTAAATGTAGTCTATATGCATATGTTTCGTAGAATATTTAATGGGATTTGCAAATCATGGGTTATGACCCCCTATCATGAGCAACTTGGAGGGATGTCATATAAAAAAGTGCAAACCCTATTGGACTTGTGCAGGAAATGGGCTATCAAAATGTGGTCTTGATTTGTTTGGTTAAGCCTAAACTAGTTTTGAGAAAAGCTTAAAAGAATGGTACATTCACGGATCGTGGCAGTGTTTGCCTATTTTTCTTTAGTTTTATGGGGTGCGATTTTCACAACCTACTTATCACTATGGGAGTCCCAGAGAATTCTTAGATTGCTGTACTAGAAGAGGTCAGAGGAACCTAACATTAGTTCCACAAACAGTGATGGAAACTCCCTTTGTATCTTCAAAATCATCACTAGCTCAACCCTCCTCCAAACAACTTCCATAGGTTTGAGATAACCAGACAATATAGTATTCTCTCTGCTTCTTTAGATTCTTGAAACAAAAGTTGGGCTATAAACCTAACAAATAAATACTTAAAGTACAGTCTCTGTGTCTCGATTTGCAATAAATAACAACCCCAGCATTATTTATTCTTGTGGAATCTAAGGGCTGATTCACAAGAACATTTCTTTCATATGGTGTGGAAGAAATTTTGTGGAAGAAAAATTACATATGCATAATTTCAGAAAAATATTGTAAAGCATTTGGAGGGTTTTCATTCGTGCTCAACTACAGTGCTCATTATTATATGCAGTATGTTTACTTTTTATTTTCTAAACTGGAAATTGATGTTACTTTTATTGTACTTTCTACTAAAGTAAGTGTATCAGTGAACCAAGAACAACTAGCTATTTAACAAATTATTAAGCCTGTTACAAAACTGGTGTTTCTAAATATGGTCAATGAACATGAACGTTTCTAGAATATCTGTGTAAGGAATGTAACACTGGCTAAAAAAAACCCCAAAACAATTTCCACATTTGGCCACTGCCTCCTCCAACTTCTGAGTTTGCCCATCCTGGAACATCTATTTGTTTGTAGTATTTTTAAATTATTATTGTTATTTTCCTGTTTCTAATATGAAATGGTATCTTTCTTAGGTCAACAGGATGGGTACTGTTTTTGAAAATAGAGCTGGAATTTGTGTGCAGCTGATGACCTGTTCACCAGACTGGTAATATTTTATTCAAAAATTTATTATATCAAGATGCAGTTATATGTTTTCCCTCCTCCTGTTAGTTCTTATGTGCCCAAATTAGCAAAAAATATTCTAGATTCTTATATGACCTTTTCCGGTGATTCATTCAGGGAGGCATGATTTAAATATAACTTTAAACCAGGATTGTAACTTATCGAATCATGATGTCAAAATTGGGAGGCAGAATATAAATAATCTCTGTTATTTCTTTGATTTCAGAACCCTTTTCCTTTTTTTTTTCATATTTTCCCTGGTCCATTATCACTTTTTTTGTTAAGCAGATACCAATTCCAATTAAAATACTCAGACTTAGTTCTGATACAAAAGTCAACCTTTCACTCTTTCGGTTTTATTGTTATTCCCATCTATCTAGCACAATATATGTTTGGGATCTCCGAACTTACAGGCCTGCCTTACAACCTTCACTTGAGAAGAAAAAGGAAGAGGGTATTATTAATGTTCCACCTGATGTGCCCACCACCTTCAAACACCTTGACCTTGCCTGGAAACCTATCATAAAGGTACAGCACAAACATGCAGAGAACTTTAAAGAATGACTAAGATGGAGGGAAGATGCATCATTTCAACCCAATTTTTAGTCTTCTCATCTCCTCTCCCAAAAGATGAAATTTGATTCAGATAAGAGTATCTTGAAACATTGCTACAAATGGAAGATCATGTGTGATCTCCATATGCCAGAATCTGAGAAGCTGGATCTTATTTCCCCAAAGGCATCGAGAAAGAGAAGGCAATGCAAGTTTTGTCTTTAAAAAAAATGGAAATTGCCAGATAGTATGGATCATTTTTATAAAGCAATTAAGGGGAGAACAGGTTGTCCAGATAATTGTTTTTTGACAATTTTAATTAGAACCAAATTGAAAAAAACTTAATGGAAAAAATTCAACTACTCCCAAATTGGAATGATCTCCATGCATATCACCAGACATTCAACTTAGTAGAGATATGAAAACAATTTAATTTAATTGTCAATTTAAAATATGCAGAAAGATACATTTTCTATCTACTTCACGTGGCACTAGACTAGATTATTCTTCAATATCTCAATTGATGGGTATTTTGTTTGAAAAATGCAGCCTTTTTTTCATTTTAAATTGTGATTGTCCAATAGGAAAAGGGGGGGGATTCCTATTATTGGAAGTGGTGTTTTAGCCCTCCTTTTTGGGAAAATTTCTTGACAATTCCACATTGCAGCCTCAAACTACTTCTGCCCCGTGTTTGTGCTAGATGAATTCTAAGCCAGTTTACGAAAAATAATTGTCCTGCTTGGGGTACTGTGGTGGTGCTATTCTCAGGCACAAAGAATCAAGACCATAGAATAAGCACTAATTAAACTGATTTATTGCTCATGCCTATGCATAAGAATCTGGTCAACAAATCATCAGCACTAGATTAGTGCTAGGGTTAACAGAATTCACAAGGGGTTGAATTATTTATAGGAATATAATGACTCCAGGCTGGTTCCTCTCTTGACACCGCCCTTAGGCTCAGCCTATCCTATTACAGATATACAAGTATTCAGTCTGGACAACCAACCCCTGTAGTCCTCATTGGACAGTTCCTCTGATGCTGTTCCTCCTACCTTCCATGCCAAGAAGGCAACTAGAAAGCTAAATGATGTTTATAAAATTAAAGTACCAACATGCCAACGGGTATACACCCAGAAATCAGCTTTAAAATAAACGTTTTTTCTTGTATTTCCCCAAATTTGATCCCTAATCTCTACTACACTAGAATGAATTTCATTCTAGTATAGCAGTTCTAACCTTTATCTAATATAAAGGGAGCTATGAATTCAAAAAATACATTTGGGGTTGGGTTTCTTTCATCCCTATTATTCTTTCTTTGGGTTATCCTGTCCACTTCTTTTTTAAAGCAATTAGTTCACTGATGATGAAAAAACCAGCCCACCAGAATAAAGTTAATCATTAAAAAATCTTGTACCATGTTTAATGAGCTCCTTAAATAATGTTTGAAGAAGATTAGATAATATGTTTTGTGTGTTGGTATTGCAAGAGAGTTCTGTAACTCATATGGCTTGGTCATGCCCATTCATGATTCTTTTTCAGTGTCAAGTTATTACTTATGTTAAAGCTTTATTTGTTTTGTTGAATGTAAGTTCATGCCTTTCTTTCAAAGCCAATAATATTTTTATGTGAGTTATATAATACATATATATTTGTGACCTTTAACTAATGTGAAATATCTTTTTTTTAAATTAACAGTACTATAATATCTTTAAATGCAATGCACCAAAAATAGTTTTATCTTAACAGGAAATAGCCAAACTTTATTTAAAAAAATAATTAAACTGATACCGATCTTAGAAGATTTAATAGCATTAAATTCTTCTGAGTTTGTCATTTCATATTGTTTTAAAATGTATTGTTAAAAATGGAAACAAATCAAACAGTCAGATGCTAATTACAAAATCAATTAATTGTGTGTCTATGATTATTATGCATTAGGAACCATAAATTATCTTATATAATATTGGTTGGTTTATATTCTATATTTGCTACCCAAAGAGGACCGTGCTAGCATAAATAGGTTTCTGGCATTGTTTGTTCAACTAACACATCTCCCCACCCCCCACCCCATTATACATCTTGTTAAATACCTTTTCTAAAATCCTAAACCAGATCAATCTGCCCAAGGCAGATACAAGTGCTGAATATAGTCCAATAAGATTTAGCTTCAGAGAAGAGCACTATCACACCAAAATTCAAGGTAAGCAATTTTTATGTTTTGGGGAAATTAGCAGTAGATTAGGAGCAGATTAAGAGACTGCATAGTCCTGAGTTGGATCAGGAGTGGGAAATTGATTCAGAATAGCCATACCCTAGCATCCTTCAGGGTATATTTAGTAATTAAATGCTTATAGCTTGAGTTTGGCAAGATTCTGTCCACTAGGTCTAAGCAAATGAAGGACTGAACTCGATTGACTCGTGATTATGATTATTGATTATTTCATTCAGCTTATATCTAGTAGATAATATTAAGTATAGTTTATATTCCTAGAGTTTATATCTAATGGTCAATTATGGTACCACACCCAGAATCATTAATTGTATGCTGCCCAGAATCACATACTCCAGAGATAGGTAGCTGTAAAAATTTGATAAATAAATACAGTACATAATGCAAAACTATTTTATAACTTTTCTAAACTGAAAATCGTGAAGTTTCCTCATTTCTGATCTCTTTCAGGCAAAACCTGTCAGCTTCCCTGAAACATTCAGTTAATAAGCCTTCAGTTCATGCAGAGCTATTTATGTAGTTGATAAGAAAGTTAATCAGTTTCCCATTTGCCTGTCATTTTTAAAACATCTCTCGTCCTCCAGTCATCTAACCTGTTTTGATGAATGAGACAAATAATTGATTATGTAAGTTTTACTCACAATCTTACTCCAATTTTTTCGTAGACAAAACAGCCATCCCAAACAAACAAAGCAAAGAGGAACCCATAGAAAAAATTCCATATGCAGAGATCCAGGGCACAACAATGAAACCTCTTAAGCTACTGGAAAATATAAATACCAGCTTTTTTGTTGGAACTGAGGTAAGTTTTTTGGGGGGGTGCAAATTGATTGCTTAACTTCAGAAAGATGGGAGAACTGGAGAATACTGCACAGAATAGTTGTAAACTGATCAATGAATTCCTATTACAAAGCAGAATCATTAGAAAAATTAGTTATTGTGAATCTATTTACAAAGGGCCATATATGGGTATAATTACCATTGCTAGAATTCAGCACTGGGCTAGATTCTATTTGGCTGGGGTTTTTTCTTCTTATATAAAGAGGGGTTGTGTTCAATAGCACAGCTCAAAAAAGTTAGCCTGAATAAAAATAATTGCTGCCAGTGTAATACTATTGGAAAAATCTAAGGCAGATGATGTTGTTACTGAGCTTATAAAAGAACTCCCGTTTAAGACATACATTTATTGAGAAAGCATCAACAAATACACAAATTAGCAATTAGACAAAATGATGGTTCATTTGGACTTTTCTGGTTAGGCCTGTACAATTGGTTTTTATGAGTAGTCACTACATCATCATCATCATCATCATCATCATTATTGTTGTTGTTGTTGTTATTATTACCTTTATTGTCAGGGTACAACATGTGTACAATTTTATTTTATTATTATTTTCTGTTCAGAAGTCTGACAGCCCACTAAGGATCAGCTTGTTACACTGAATCTTATTCACATATTTCACATGAAAAACCCTGGGGCAGTATTGTTTTAGATCAATCAGATCTGATTCTTATAGTCATTCCACATGGAACCTTTGCAATGTTTAAGATCAATTCTGCATCTCCCCATTCCCATTATTTTGGGTGGGTCTGAGAGTTGGGTTGATCTACTGAAGATGTTGTCACTGTGTCTAAAATTGCAGCAATGTTTTTTTAAGCTCTCAAGTGCCGTTGTGCGGTCTGTTCACCCTCTCATCTGAAATGCCCAGAATTACTTCTAGCCACCTAGAGTTGCTTCTAGATAAGATGGGCAGTACATAAATGTAATAAATAAGTAAAATTTTAAAAAATACAAGCCTTTTTATGTGCATGATATATGGCACTTGGTCATAACTAAACTGATGATGTGGGAGCTTCCACAGCCCCATACAAAATACATGGCCACACTGATGAGCAGGGTATGTTCAGGGTGGGATATGACAGGGTTAACTACCGCTTCAGGATTTACGAGCTTCCCTGCAGGCTGCGAGCCACACACCTGTAAATCGTCATCAGCAGCTGCCTGCAGAGAAGCAGCCTTTGAAACAGCCCTCTTTTCTTGCTTTTCTAACTGCAGCTGTGCCTCGTTCGGCAGCTGAAGTTGAAAAATCAGAAAATAAAGATCAGGTAAGAGCCCAAGTGGGTAGGTGGGCAAAAACATCAGCAGACATAGAACCGGTTCTATGTCTGCTGCTCTTCAGAGCTACCGGTTCTACAGAGGTGGACAGAACCGGTAGAAACCCACCCCTGGCTATGTTTGAAGATGGCAATTCACGTGGATCACCTCATAAGCTGTTGACAGCAAGAGTGTTCTTCTGAGCACCCCATCACTCAGCTCATATTTACTCTGCTCCCTGCTCCCATTTTTGATTACCACCATTCCAGTAATCAACAACTGAAGGAAAACAGCTGAATTTTATAAGGCAATTTCTGACACTTCTTGGGAGTGGGCAGGGAATTCCCCACTTTGATCTGTCAAGACAGATGTCTTTGTAACAGCTATGGTTTCACTCTCTCTTTCTGAAATACCTTTGCTGCTTTTTGAAACCTGGCCTCTCTGGCATATTCTCATAGGAAACCTAATTTTAATTTACTTTAGTTAGCCTAGTGTAATTAGTCTACTATTAATTTAGTAAACTAGATTAGATAGTTGGAATTCCCATCAGTAGGACTTCTGCATGAAAACAGAGACTAGCCATGCTAATTGTATTTATTGTGTGTAATTATAAGAAATATCGTGCAAACATTTCGTGAGTATTCAAGTTTAAAAGCCTCTATTCTGAGCATCAAATATGTTCATATTCTGTAAAATGATATAATTTTTGCTGTATGTGGAATCTACATTTTCATTATCACAATGCAAAGAATTAGTAAAGAAGAACGTTGTTTATGTTTTAAAAACATAAGACTAAGACAGGCCTCTCTTTTTTCAAAGCTACCCCTTCTGCGAAGTCTTTGACTAATTTCTGGCTATAAATCTCACAGTATCAATCAGTACTGTAAATATAACTAAAATAGGTTATCATCCTGTTAATTTTTTTCTCATGCTGCTTTCCACTTAAACAAACAAACAGCAAAATTCACTATTCTAAAAATGTGATGTTTCAGCAATATAATGGAACACATTAAATAGCTGGTGGGGATGTATCCAAGATGAAAAAAGCCTTTTATCAGATTTAAGAAAACTGAGCTTTCAGACAGTCTATGTAATATATTAAAGGCTTTGTTATTTTGGACATAAGTACAAGTATCTTGCCAAAAATTCTTTAAAAAAAGATGGTATTATAAAGCATATTTTTAAAGTATCAGTACTGAATCATGGTATATTTCAGACTGCAAAGATCTAAACATCAAGATAATGATGGAAATGCTTCCCATTTGCAAAAGTTGTAAACTTCAAAGGCGATCACATTCTGTAACCAATATTTCATCTGAACTCCTGCTCCCCTTGCTAATTACATTTTTGTGGCATTTTGCAGGACGGTGAAGTTCTTTATTCAGACTGGAAGATGGAAAGAGACGGTGACTCAGGAAGATTGCTTAGTATGTCTTAAATTTCTCAATATTTCTAAAACGGCTATAGGACTCAGATAGTGAGTTTTTTAAAAATAAAAACTTAAGTTGTAAAGCACAGCATCTATGTTGGATTTCTATAAAGACCTTGTTGTTTTGAATTAGTATTTTAAAAAATAGTTGTCTGAATATACTAGTAATTGACTTAGGGCCTGGTTATTTGAGGAACAACTGGTCCCTGTGGTTTCTACCATCAGATGATATTCAGTGAGATCAGTCAGCTAGCCACCCTTTCAGGTCCCATGAATCAAGCTGTGTCAGCTAATGGGACCAGAAGCCAAGCTTTCCAGTGGTGGGATTCAAAGTTTTTTTACCATTGGTTCTGTGGGTGTGGCTTGGTGGGCGCGCTTTGCATGTGTGCGCAGAGGGTTTACTACTGCCCTTTTCCTGCAATCCTGCACTCTCCCTGTGTCTTCAACAGCTGACGTGCAGCAGCTGAACTTCAAATCAAGAAATAAAGGTCAGAAGATAGCGGGGCGGGCAGGCCCAGCAGCTGATTATTGGAGAGAACCGGTTTGCTCACAGATGATCCTCAGAGCTACCAGTTCAGCCGAACCAGGCCGAACTGGTAGAATACCACCACTGAAGCTTTCCTTATGGAATTATCTCTCTCCAGAGATTCTCATGGCTGTCCTGAATTAAATTCTTTTTTGAGTTTTGGAACTCTTCAAGATAAATGTTGTTGTATTTTGTTTACTTCTCCTAACTAGCTGGACTAGCCCTGCAGTTCATTCAGCAAGTTCTTTTTTAATGGTTGCCATTACCTTCTAGGGCTGAGAGAATGACTGGCCCAAGATCACTCAGCGGGCTATAAGACTGGAACTCATATTTGTCTGGTTTCTAATCTGGTTCCTTAACCACTACATGAAACTGGGGCTCCCAGTGACATTAAAGTTATTAAAGACCAGATTTTTCTCCCAAGCTATGAAGGTTGAACCCATGCTAGAGAAGATGTGGGAGGAATGTTGTGTACATGTTGTCATATGAACTGTTTATGAACTTTCTATCTCTTTTTGTAATTGTGAGTGCCCAGAACCATAGATAGATGAATATGGGAATGATCTACGGCAGGGGTCCCCAGGCTTGGCAACTTTAAGACTTGTGGACTTCAACTCCCAGAATTCTGGAAGAATTCCCAGGAATTCCCAGGAATTCTGGAAGTTGAAGTCCACGCATCTTAAAGTTGCCAATTTTGGAGACCTCTGATCTAGGGGAAAAGAGGAAAAAGGTTCTGTCTAAGTAACGATCACACAGAGAGGCAGGAACCCCCTGTGGCTTAACAGTCAGAGAATGAAATGTAGAAAAATCTACCCTAATGCATCAAGCAGTTTAAAATGGCAGTGGGAAATCTGTACTTTCAGACTGTTATTGTAGCCTTAGAATAAAATAGATTCAGCCCCTCTTATCTTGTTCCCTCCCTGGTTTTAGCCAGGTGGGCTGACAGTGAAAGATATATGATAGCCTGCTGTGTTTTAGAAGTGGCGGGTTTCAATTCACAGGATCTCACAATTGTCAGCATAGATTTGAAATTCAAACAGTCTGAGAACACAGGTTTGTAAACGCTGACAGTTAAACCGCTTTCAAATCACAATGGTTCCCCATGGAAGGAGCAAAAAACAGTAGAACAAAGAACATTCAGTATAGTATCTCTTTTTAAAGTCCACTGCATGGTCAATGTGTTTTGCTACAGTCCCAAGGAGTCTAGAGTAGAATGAATCGGCAATCCATTTTTGCAATACTTAATCATCAAGTAATAGAGACTAATTTGGATGAGAACTCCTCATCCTGATCTCTCTTGTTCAGGAAATGACTTAATTATGGGGTCAATGGTATTCTCTGAGCTTTGTTGTTTTCTTGCAGATGTTTCATTACCCAATTACCTAACATCGTCAGTACTAGCACTGGGCAGCATTACATGGCTGGATAATGAAATATCTGTAAGAAAACAACCAAGCTCAGAGAGCACCAAAGACCTCATAGTTTAACCCGGAACTACAACTGTTCCCTTCTATTGGTGCCTCAACTATGTTGAACATTTGACAACAGCTATAGGAACTAGGAAGATGAATAACACCAGCATTTAAGGGACTGGATTAGGAATAAGGAGATAAGGGTTAACATTCTCCCTCAGTCAGGAGACTCATTGACTAAATCTGGGCCAGCTTCTTAGCCCAACTCTGTGAGAGAAAATCAGATGTAACAGGTAAATACTAATAATAAAATTTTGTATATATGTACAAAAGCTTACCTTTTTTTCTCTTGCTTCAGGCCAGAAACCATCTAACATACACAGCATCCATGATGGACTTGTTCACACTGTGCAAAGATCACCATTTTTCAAAGATATCATTCTCACAATCGGAGGCTGGAATTTTGCAATATGGAAAGAAGGTGTTACGGTAAAGATTTCTGGAATCAGAAATCTCCATAAAGAAGTTGCAGATCAAAGTTTTTAACAGAGGGCAACTCAGAGGTGCACAAACACATTGTAGCCTCTTTTGAATTTAGGAGTAGCTCTGCATCCAGGGTTGGGATTCAGCCAGTCCGGGCCAGTTCAAACAACCCGGATGTTAAATTTACATCTGGTTCGCCAAAGCGGTAGTGGAACCGACTGGCTGGCCCCACCCTCCCCTCCCAGGAGTCTCCATGCGGCCCATTTTGGATGCAGGTAAGTGTAGGGGCCGTGCAAAGGCTCTGGAAGGGTGAAAAACAACCCTTCCAGAAGTTCCGGAAGTCCATAAATGGGCCTGTTTCTGGCTTCCGGAGGGCCTCTGGAGCCTGGGGACGCCATTTTTGCCCTCCCAGAGGCCCAAGGGAAGCCTCCAAAATGGCCCTCCTGTAATTTCCAGTAGGCCAGCAACTGGGCAGAGAACCGGTTGTTTGGAGTTTTGAATTCCACCCTGTCTGCACCACAAAAACTTAAACTTTTCACTATAGTACAATCCTTACAGAGGTTGTGGCAGAATTGCTGTTAATTAAATCCATTGAGAATTTAAAAAACAGATATTGCTTCTTGCCTGGGCTTAATTTTTTTATGTATTGTGTGTTTGTGTGGTGTGTTTGTGTATTATGTAGAAGCAAGCAGCTCTGTGTTAAGAGTGGTTTCAGGCAAATTTTGCCTTTCTCACTAAATTAATTTTTTAAAAACTTGCTGTCATAATAATAGACCAAAATTTGTAGAACTTTTAGGTGTTATAATTAGGTGAGCGAAACTGTAGGAATTATATGGAATTCTATTTGATTGTGCAGTGTAAGATTTTTGAGAGCTGTGATGGCAAATAATTGAGAAAATGTTTTTTAAAAATATTTCTTTTGTTTTTAATTCAGGGTGGACCGCTCCTTAAGTCAAACTGTGCAGCAAAGAGGTATACTGTTGGACATTGGTCTTTATCAAGACCAGGAGTTTTCTTTATTGGAAGAGAAGATGGAAATGTTGACATTTGGGACCTATTGGAGAAAACACACGAAGCATCTCAGACCCAAAATATCAGCATTGCACATATTACTTGTGTTAAGCCCTGGATCTATTCTTGTACGTCCGTACAGTTTGCTATAATTGTATTTCTCTACATAACGTATAATTTCGCAGTAGGTCTTTCTTTAGCCATTAGAAGCATGTGAATAACGAGATGCTGCCAAGTAGCAAGACTATATTGGGAAGAAAACTCCAGAAAATATCGAATTCTTAGATGATTATAAGGTGGATTGAGCTGCTAACAAAAGCAAGCAAGCAAGCAAGCAAGGAAGGGAGATGGTGACTAACTTTGGCAAAATAATAACAATAATAGTAGTTGTAGAAATAGAGGACAAGTCCAGATATGAGTCTTATAAATTAAACTTAGAGAAAAGCTGTATATTACACACAAATGCATGTAATAAAAGCTTGCTAAAATGATTGAACAATGGTGCTTCAGAAGTTACAGTTTTGCTAGCAGAAATGCTATCTTGAATCCTATGTAGAGAAGTGGGAAGCAATAGGCAGAAAACATTTGAAAAAATGAATTGGTAAAGCTGATTTAACATTAACTTTCCCTCTATCCAAGTGACCTTTCTTTCTTTCTTTCTTTAAAAAAAGAAGACGTTGGATCTCAGTCACGGTATAACTATGATGTGGAATGCAAAAATATCACATAGTCACAGACTTAATTTATACAATATGTCATAGTAAACCATAAGGCTGACTTAATAGCAAATATGCCCTTGCCCAGTATTCCTCAACCAGGCAACTTTAAAATGTGTCGACTTCAATTCCCATCTCCAAATTCCATAGTTAAATCTATAAATCTGGGATACTGGTGCCATTTGACTGGAACAAAAACTAAGGACTAAAATATCACTTTATAAAGATAGGACCTTTAACTAGTCAGCCCATAAACAGAGATAGGTGGTGAGACTCATTGCATTTGTTAATCGTTCGTCCTTCTGGCTTAGTATTTTGTATTAATTTATTTTTATTCTGCCTTTATCGTTTTTACAAATAACTCAAGGGGGTGAACATATCTCACTCACATTCCTCCTCCTATTTTCCCCACAAAAACAACCTCCTGAGGTGTGTTGGGCTGAGAGAGAAAGTGACTGGCCCAAAAGCTTTCATGGCTAAGTTGGGATTTGAACTCAGTCTTCTGCTTTCTTGCCTGATGCCTTAACTCTGTGATGGCGAACCTATGGCTAGTGTGCCAGAGGTGGCACGCTGCACCCTCTGTGATGGCACACAAGCTGTTGCCCCAATTCAGCTCTGATGCACATGCATGTGTGCTTCCCGCCAGCCAGCTGCCCTTCAGGTCTCTGCTGCATATGCATGGGGGGGTGGCGCTTCTGCTGCTGACCAAGCATACTCAGCGTGGCCTTCAGCAGGACAGCTAATGGTTAGGTAAGGCCCATCTCCCAAGGTGGCATGCAGAAGTTTCCTTATAAGACCTGGGGAAGGAGGCCTTCTGCTGCCACAGCTGCCTTGCAAAGGGCCAGGCTGGGCACACCTCATCAGCACTGGAAGCAAGAAGATCGTAGAATCATACAATCAAAGCTGGAAGGCAGCTTGGAGGTCTTTTAAGTCCAAACGGGGGTGGGATTCTACCAGTTCACACCTATTTGCTAGAACCGGTTATTAACATTCTAAGCCAGTGATGGCTAACCTTTTCAGCTTGGTGTGTCAAAAATCGGGAAAAAGTGTAGCCTTCCTCGGGTCGTGTGTCACTTCAAGAAATATCAATAATTTGGTTTATGATGGACTGGGCTGGGGTGATCACACAGGGCTGTGAAACTCGTCTCCCTGGTCTCAGGGCTGCAGGTGCAGGATGTGGGATCGGAAGGCCACCTTACAGGGCTGTGTACCTCATGGATCTCCTTTCCTCCTGTAGCGTTCCTGAGGTAATGAAACTGACAAACCTTAGTTTATGGCGGTTAAAACTGGTTCTCTGCTGCAAAAATCTTGCGGCAGCAGTGACACCACGCCTCCACGCAACAAGCAGGGAGCAGGGATTGGAGCAGAGCACAGGCAGCCTCTAAATGTGCAGGTTTTCCCCACACCAACAGGTGTGTCAGTCAAAGTGCCTCGGCGTGTCACGAGTGACACGCGTGTCATAGGTTAGCCATCACTGTTCTAAGCAGTTCGGAGAACTGGTTGTTAAAAGAAATTACTGGCCTAATCCTGTAAGGAAGGCAGGAAGGAAACATTCTGGTGTTGCTTACAGAAACTGCCTCTCCATTAACCCTGATTACATTCTTGGCAGGACCAGTCATTGCAACTACTGGTTGGGCGAACCAGATGGAAAATTAACATCCAGTTCATGTAAACCAGTGCAAACCGATAGCAGCCCGCCCCCTGAAGTCCAGTCATCTTAAAGTTCCCAACGTTGAGAAACATTACTGTAATATAGAGTATAAATCAGATTTACTTATCATTAGAGTTCTGTGTAGGAGTATTAACTATGAGCAAAAATCTGCCAACTCTATTCCAAAGTCATGAACCAATATATTTTAGCAGGGTATATCAATCTAACAGGTTTTAATACCATTTGCTTGGGGAACAAGTGGAAGAATAAATTCTGGAAATGAGCTTTTTACACCTAGTCACTAACATCAGTAATGAAAGCAAATATTCTACCAATGGTTAGAAGTTGTATGTTTATACCCGCAATAATATTTTGTGTCTTCTCCTACAGCAAAGCAACACTTCCTAGCAGTTGCTGATGATTTTGGCACCTTGCATATTTTAGAAATTTCATGGTCATTAATTCACCCTTCCAGCAATGAGGTTTGTAACTCATTTCATAAATTTTTGTGGGTGGCTATTAAAAGTTGCAGAATAGAGTAGCGTGGGGCAACTTGTGGCACCTAGCAAACCCTGCCATCTAGCAAACAAAAGTGAGATGTAGGCCACATTAGGCAAGAAACATCTGATTCAAGAAAGGCAATAGGATAGTGCGAATGCAGCTTTGCGTCCCGCATCAGCGAATCTGTTATCCCCTGTTATCTGTTATGTGCTAAGGTCAGAAAAGATGAAGAATTTCATTACATATAAACCATAGTATCAGTCAGTTATACAGTAAGAAAGTGCCTGAATAGCATTTGGAGAGCTTCAAATAATCAGTAAAATGGTCAGATTTGCAGCGACTGGATTTGTTTATTTATTTATACCCCACCTTTATTATTTTTATTTCTCACATTTATATCCTACTGTTCCCCTGTGAAATGCAGCCTAGATCAGGGGTCGCCAACCTTTTGCACCTCAGAGACCACCAAACTCATAATTGTTAATCCCACGGAGCACTAATATGAATTTTGACTGACAGTGGCTTGCTGATGTTGGTGCGAAAGTCAGTCCCATATTCCAGAGCTGGAGTAGTCATAGGACTGGCCCCTTTGGTCATCCTGGAGCAGCTGCTCCTCCACCTGGCGCATCCTTTTGTACCCATGCAGCCTGGATTAATTGCTTTGGGGGGAGTACTTGGGAGAGTTAGGGAAATTTTCTTGTGGACCACCAGTGGTGCCTGGTCCACCAGTTGGCGACCACTGGGCTAGATAGTATTCAGGTTTCTTTGGTTCTTGTAGTTGTATAAAGATAAGCATGTTTTATGAATGGACAAACCATGCTCATCATCATTAAACATACATTGGAAATGTCAGCGTTCCAGCGTTCTTCATTACTTTGAGCGAGAAGTCAAACATCTGGAGTATTTTGAGCAGCGGCAGGAATTCAGAGAAGAAGAAAGGGTGGCACTTGAGCATGAAAAGCTGATGAAGAGAACGGTAAGATCTTTAGAGACTGAAAAGCTAAGATAAGGGTGATATGAGTATTATTTAATTTACAAGCTTTTGGGGCAAGTGAGCTACAGAAAAGTATGATTACTTTTGTGGGTTTACGGTGTAGGGGATTGTGGCTAATTGAATATCCTTAGGATCCATGTTTTCTGTAACAAAGGATATTTTCATTGTGCCTAATATTTTATTAATCATTATTTTTACAAGGTTTTCTATCCTTCTCTGCAACCAAAAACATTCTCAGATAGCTTACAAACCAATACAAACGTAAACGTTCCTTACTCTTAGACTTGTAACCTGTGGAAAGCAAATATGAGGAAAGCGGGGAAAGCATAAAATGCAAGGTTTTACTTTATTTTAACTTTCTTCAGCAACAGGAAGTTTTCTATATATATTTTTTAAATAGCTGCAATACTATATCTTAGTAAATCCAAAACCAAATGATGGTTTGGACTAATTGTAGTTAATCCATATTTCATTTTGAATTTCTGGAAGCAGAAAAGCCAAAAGTGGTACTGAGTCTCTAGTCTTTTTTCTTCTTCTTAGTTTGCCCCTGTAATTGTCTCTATCAGATTGTACAGGTAGTCCTTGATTTACCACCACAATCGAGACCAGAATTTTCATTGCTGAGCAAGGTGATAATTAAGTGAATTGTGCTTGATATTACAACCTTTTTTGTCAGCTGTTAAGAAAATCACTGCAGTGGTGAAGTGAGTAACTTTGCTGGGGAGAAGTCATCTGGGAAAGTCACAAATGGTGATGATATGGCCCTGGGATCAGAGATTCAGCAGTTTCTGGCCAGTTCTGGAGAACCGGTGGTGGAAATTTTGAGTAGTTTGGAGAACTGGCAAATACCACCTCTGACTGGAGATTTTACAGTATCCTTCCCTTGCTATGTCCACCAAGCCGCAGCCACCGAACCGGTAGTAAAAAAATGTGAATCCCACCACTGCCTGGGACGTTGCAACTGGCATAAATACATGCCAGTTGCCAAGTGCCTGAATTTTGATCATGTGACTGTGGGGATGCTGCAGTAATGGTGTGAAGACCAGTTGTAAGTCACTTTTTTCAGTGCAGTTGCAACTGGTTGTAGGTCGAGGGCACAATGCCCTCCAGCTGGAACTACCAGTATAATCTCAAAATGCCTATGCCACAACCATGCTAATTAGGAATTCTGGAACTTGTATTCCTGACACTTTTGAGGAACTCAAGCTGGGAAGACTGTTCTAAAATATTATTACTATTAATTTAAATTTATTATAGCCACCCAGTCCCATAGGACTCCTCTTGAGTACTAAGTTACTTTAAAAATAACATTTAGTATTCAATATTGCAGGCTATTTTGAAAGTAGATATTGTCTCAGGAATGTAATGATGGAATCTGGTGAGACTTTGGAAAAATGTGTTTTGTATAGTAACTTATCATTCTCCCCCTTCATTCTTCTCTTCTCTTTGCAGAAAGTGGTTGGTGGTCAGCGAGAGTTAATGGAAGAACAGACCAATCAAAATTATGTAGAATTTTTGGATTTGGAGAAAGCCATATTAGTTCGACTTGGATTAATCAAGGGACCAGATAAATTTAGCCCCTCGAGAAATATGTAGTTTTACCACTACTTAACAATAAGGAGCAACTTCAGAATAGCTGTGACTCTCAAGATATATAATTTATACTGCAAGTCCTTCCATGAAACAGACACCTATTTTTATTTAACTAATTGTGCCTTCCTCAGTGAGAATGGCCAAAGATAGCCAGCAAACATGTATGTGCCGTTCTTCCCTATCCCTATATTATGTATAATAAATGCATACTTAAGAAGCAATATTTATTGTTAATTTGCTGTAGTGTCATAACGCAGATTTAATAAACACCTATTTATTTGTTAAATATGGCATTGTGGAAGCTGTGGTGTTAAAAGAAAACAAAAAAAAAAAGCCTCAAGGGTGCCCCAAAGGTGTTTTTTCAAGAGGCAACTGGCTCAAAGCTGAAGAAGCTTCTTGGACTAGAAGTGAAACATCTTCAAACAAAAACCAGAAAGTCCAGTTGCCTCTTGAAAAAGCACCTTTGGGACAATCATGACCTGGATGACCAAGAATCTCCATATACAACTCAAGGGTGCATTTTGTATTATCAATTCATAAGCAGGTCTCACCTTTCACCCAGGTCAACATTCTGAGTTCACACATAGCCACGCTCATTATATTTCCCATGTTTGAAAGTGTAGCAGTAGGTAAAATCCTGGCGATATTTCAGTGGGGTTACTGCAGGATAGAGAATGGAGCCACTTTTATTTTGAAAGCATCAATGTATTGCTTTTTTCCCTTAATGCAGCTGCTACACAACATATGAATGATACACTGAATTATTTATTACACTGTTAAATTACACCATATGTGTAATTTATTACACATTTGCACATGGGGACAGAAATTTTTAAAAGTGATATATTTGTTTTGTTTGGTATGTTAAAGGCATAAAATTATGTCCTAATTCAGCAGGAAAATTGAGATGCTGTATTAATGTGCTTGCAAGTGACTATATTATCCAGGGCTTCTCTTAAAAAGTTACGGATCACTGAATATAAAAATGAAACTTGTTTGATTTGTGCACAGCTCTTACACCCTGGTTTCTAACATTAGAGAAGTCAAAATGTAAGCATGTTAGGCGTGAATCAAGAACATCCTATTTAAAGAATGTTCAGTAACATAGACTTGCCAATGTTGTTCAGGCAATCAGGTGCATTGATTTGACATCAAGGACTGCAACAAATGGAGGATGCAAAATGACATCTACTCTTGAGTGGAAGTAGTGATTCCATTCCATTCATTCTTCTTCACAGGATTCTGGACAAGATGGACTCTGACCTGATAAAAGGGCCATCTGCTCTTATCAACTGTGAAAGGTCTGCCCCTCCATATCATCACCCAAACTGATACATTAGATTAAGTCTGTGTTCTTCCCATTTCATAGCACAGCAGACTAACAATCCTCGCAATATAAATTCTTTTCACACTACTTAATTAGTCTTATCTTTAAAATGTATTCTTAAAATAATAACATTTTACAAAATTACAGAATCAAGTTGTTTTCAATTTTGGGTTTTATTCAGAATTAACATAGTTCAAAAATAATTCACTTCCTGTACATATGCTTTAAAAAAATACGTCAGCTTATCAATAAATGCTTCAGGTTAAAATATATGCTTTTAAACTGTATCACTATATTGAAATGCCTGTAGTTATGTACCGCCACTCTAATCATCATCATAATAAATTAACCAGACTGTATAAAATGCTGAATATTTAAGGAAAATGTGGCAAAAATCATGCACCAAATTCAGTCATCCTATTGTCAATAAATAGCTAAAATAATTATAATAATATCAAGGAGCAAATTAAATAGCACTTGTACCAGATCCGTAACAAAAAAAAGGAGAACTGATAATGTAAATAAATGAGGGGAAACCAGACCTATAATATAGGGTACCCTTTTCTTGTCCTCCAACTATTTTAAGACTATAATTACCGGAATTCCTAGATGAAATTGAGGATATTGTGATTCCCCAAACAACTGACGACATCAGTTGATTAAGGTTAATGCAAAGCAAATAGTGTTCAAAACACTCTTTAAAAGATAATGGCTTCCCCTGCTTGCTAATTAATATTTTTTTAAAGGAATGTCATTTAAGACATACTCTACTCCATTGCTATCTCTTTTTTTTAAGAGGCACCTGGTTGCAATTTATTGCTGCTTGGGTCATTGCCTGATTGCAGACAGAACTTAAATTTGCATCAGGCTTGTATTTACTTTGGTTCACAGTGAATATCAAAAAATCTGCAGACCAATCCAATCAGGATTTATTAAATTTACCCTTCTTACAACAAATTGGAAAAGCTGCCAATAATCATTTATAGAAACCTGGCAAGATAAACAATACATTGATCGTCTTAGCATTTAAGGACATTCTTGGGATTAAAAAAGCTAGATCAATTGGAATGAAGACCTTCAAAATGTCTCAGGCCATTTGAAACACATTACTTTAAAAAGGCACTTTCTTCATATCAACCTTTGAAAAGGAGGCAAACTCTTTGGGGGTCTCCCTAGAATGGATAAAGGTGTAGAAATGTATTAGGGGGACAGGTTTAAAGTATATAATAAGTGGTTCTTTATCACAAAATAAAGAAGCAGCACAACTATCAAAATTGAGAAGCTTCCCATTAGCGTAGCAGAAGGGAAAATTCCCTATTCAGGAAAAAAAACTGGACAAGATACACAGTAAGGTACTCAACTTATGACCATTAATTTAATGATGGTTCAAAGTTACAAAGGCCTCAGAAAGAATGACTTATGATCCATCCTCAAAATTGCAACCATCACACTAGCCCCCTTACCCAGTTATGTAATCACCACTTAGACACTTGGCAACTGGCTTGCATTTATTGTGATTGACTAAACCCATGATTCACTTAATGACCACAGTGATTTGTTTTAATGACCATAGTAAAATGGCTGTAAAATCGGGTTTGGTCATGTGACGACTTGCTGAATGACCACATTGCTTCGCAAGCAAAATTCAATTCCCAATTGTGGTCATAAGTCAAGCACCACCTGTAATGATGTACAGAGTTATGCACCTACATTTCCAGTCCAATGAGACTGATATAATAATGCCCAAGCATGGTTCACTATAGCTGGAGATGCTTTAACACAGAGAGCACTCTCGACTGCATTGATTATTGCCTATGCACAGTGCTAACATTAGGCTGATCAGGTTAAAGATCTGCATTTAAGATCATTACATATTTTTAAAGGTGCATATTTGTGGACAATTTGGTAGAATAACTCTGTGGGACCACAATAAAAATTTGTTTTGATTTGGTTGAATAGCTGCTATGGTCTCTGCCAAGCAATCAAGTCTCCAAAGCATCTCCAGAAACATGTTTTTTTAGTTTCACAATGAGAATTTCAGAAGGGTGTGACAAACAGGCCATTGTGTCTAGATACTTTATTATTGTAGATACCTTGAAGTAATTTGTACGATTTTAGTTGCAGCTTTCAAATACCTCAGTGTTCAACCACTTTCTTGTCCAGGACATCCCACAACTGCTTATGTGTGGTTGTTGGACAACACAACAGGCAAGTCTCTTTTCAGCTCTCTTGAGTCAGATGTCTAGAGTGGGCCAGATGGGCACAGGACTGTCCTGTGGAGTCCTTGGTGCTATCTGAACATGACTGCTTGCTTCAGACATTTCGTTACCCGTTAAAATGCTGATGCTACCTAGTTGGATAAACATTTGCAAACAAACACCCAAGCTTGGAAAGCACTAAGGACTCCACAATTCAACCCTGAGCTACACTCTTCTACAGCGCTGTCATGTATAACATCTCCAATAGGGCATGAAAAAACACTAACCTCCCACATCAGCAGTTTTACTTGACTGGCATGTGGGGGAAGGGTGGGAAAACTATAGAAATAGTGCATAATCACCTCATTTTACACAATTATCTAATGCAATGCCAGGGCCTGCTCTCTAGGAAGAAATGACATTTCCTATGCTAATCTAACCCCACTTTTTGGACTCTTAAATCTCTCTCTCTTCCACTCCCTCAAATACATACACACACACACACACAACCATCATCATCATCACTATGCTGGGAAATGAATGAATGAATGAATAACATAAATTCAGAGCACTGGGCTGGAGAAAGAGAAGAAACTCTTACCCTGCGCAATGAAACATACCTCAACTAGAAAGGCCCAAATCACGCCTAATGTTTTTCACATATAAATATCTACAAGACAAAAGTTAGAAAAATACTTTTGCAGTTTTAAATAGTTGCTTGAAAGTGTTACTACAGGAATACATCAATATTCATATAACTGAACTATCAAAAAGCTTTTATTTTCCATAGCAGCCTTTGCATTGCAAGTGAAAAGGTGTCAATATAATAGAACGTGATCTACATACAGTTTGTGCCGCATATTATCACTTAAGTAGTAACATTAATCTTCTCTCTTCTGGGAGAACATCCGTACCAGGGCTAAAGTTTCAGGAACAAAGTGTACTGTTCTAGTGTAACAAAGATAGAGATGAGGCATTATATATCTATCTTCGATAAACTGTTCAAATTTCCTAAGTGCATAGTAACTTGACAAGGAATATTGCAGAATTGCTTTAGAAAAAGTAACATGCTTTCAAATGGTGGAGAAAGACTGCAATATGAATACCTAACTTACACAGTGATCTCCAACATTGCCCAATACAGACCCTCATCCAAAACTCATCCTTTTCCTTATTTTCTCCTGGTGGAATACAGCAGAAGGGACATACAAAACTGGAGACATGGCAAAGTGATCAACAACTCATATTGAGCTTGTTTTTATTGAGTTCCCGTTCCAGGTTTCCTATCAGCGTATCAATGCTTTCTTGCAAGTTTTTGAGGTTAACTTGATGGTTCACAGCAGAATCCATTGTTTGCATTTTCAGATAGGCCTGAAAGGCACGTTCTTTGGATACACAAATGGGCCTCCGGAGCAGCGTTCTGGAAGCATCCGCTTTGCTGCCATCGTCCCCACTTTCTGCCTCTTCTGAAGGGACATCATCATAGTCGGC